TCTGGTGGTACATTAGATTGCACGCGCAGTGCCCCAAATTTGTTGTGATCTGTGAGTAAGGTAAACGGTTGTCCATACAAGTAGGTTGCAGCTTTTTGAGGGCCCACACCACCGCCATGCACTCCTTTTCAATGGCAGTGAATATACTTCGCTGTGCAAAAGTTTACGGCTTAGATAAAATCAATGCCGTGTACACGTCCACTGATAGGAGACGCGGAAGGTATTAAACTGATCAGAACAATACTAAACACACCACTCCTATCTGGTGGCACATTAGCTTGACCGCGCAGTGCCCCAAATTTGAATTAAGAGGACCGACCAAGCCTCTTCTTCCATCTCTCTGTTACAAAAATCAATGCCGTGTACACGACCACTGATAGGAGACGTGGAAGGTATTAAACTGAACAGTCTCTATTCTGCTCTTGCATTTCTATTTCTTCTTAAGCGAAAAATTCACAGAAAGGCGTTAGCAGGGGCTATTCACTTGTGTGATCTGTCATGAATTGTCATTTAGATATTGTATTTGAACTGTGGGGCACAAGAACTTGAATCTGACAAAATGGCTGCCATACACGTCCACTGATAGGAGACGCGGAAGGTATTAAACTGATCAGAACAATACTAAACACACCACTCCTTTTTTTTGGTGAGGCTTTACAGGACAGAGTGCTTCTCCACGGGACATGTTAACTCACGGGCAGCTGGCTCATCAAGGAACCAGAGCAGCTTTCCATGTACAGGTAAGACACGTGCAGCCGGTAAGGGTTCAGGCTCTTCTTCCTGGAGGATACGCTGTAAGCCTGTTGAACGAGGTGACCTTGCTCGGGTCCCAGGTGTACGGTTCCTAAAATGGCTGCCATATACACGTCCACTGATAGGAGACGCGGAAGGTATTAAACTGATCAGAACAATACTAAACACACCACAAATAAGGTTTCTCTCCTGTATGGCTCCTCAAATGATGCTTAAGATTAGAAGCGGCTGAAAAGCATTTCTCACACTCCGAACAAAAATATATTTTTTTAACATTCTCTCCACTTTGAACGAAATGACGTTTGGGAAGAGATTAACATAATTAAACACAGGCAGTAAAAATACAGTTTTTAGCCATACCCTGTAACTTTAAAACTACACATCCCATCTTCATAATTACATATTTGGAATCAGCACACTTAAAACATAAACATAACCAAAAATCAGCCAAATCCATCCAGGGGTTAAAAAGTTAGCTGGAGGTCCCTTTATGACCGACCGCAAGCACATTTTCCTGCCCAAAACAGTTCCATAGATTTGGGCTGTGAGGTCGGTCTATTTCAGGCTGAATGGGACTTAGTCTCTGCAGCTGTAAAACCAGTAGGGGAGAAGGTAGAGCTCAGCGGTGTTCGCGGAAATGTGTAGCCGATTTTAGTTCCATGAATTTGGCTACACATACCGCTGACCTCGTCGAATGATCAAAGATGGCCGCCGCCACGTGTTCGGCAAACGAACAAAGACCTCCCAGCATTGTCAATTAAGCTGCGGTTAACCGCAGCTTCTGGGAGGTAAATTGCCTACACACTTCCACTTCTGGGTGGTCTGCCTGTGTGGTACTTGGTTCAGTAAGCCCCATTTACTGAACCAAGTGGGAATTAGCCAGGCAGGCACAAAGGGTTTGCACCAGGTCTGGGGACACAGGGGACACCGTCTTAAAGGGACAGTGTCCCCAACAAGTCTGGGGACATGGCCTTAAAGGGGCAGTGTCCCAATCTTCCTGATGTCCCAAAAAAGGTGTTTAAAGGGCCAGCACCAGTCACATAAAGAGTCCATAAGCCCCAATATGCCCACCGACAGTCTTAAAGGGCCATACACACCAAATAAAAGTGCATACATTTTCAGAATCTCCCAGGGGCCATAGTCATGCGGGAGGAGGCTGGCAAATAGGCTTCTCCACAACCCAGGGAAGCAGGGCAATTTGCCATTTAAAGGGCCCGTTACAAATAGCAGTTTGTAACAAGGTGTCAATCCATATCTGCCAAGTGACCCGATGTAGGGGGAACAGTCCCTATTCTGCTCTGTGTCGGTGTGTATCATGGTCTCTGAGGACAGGTGTCAATCTATATCTGCCAAGTGACCCTATGTAGGAGGAACAGTCCCTATTCTGCTCTGTGTCAGTGTGTATCAGGGATCCCTAGGACAGGTGTCAATCCATATCTGCCAAGTGACCCGATGTAGGGGAACAGTCCCTATTCTGCTCTGTGTCAGTGTGTATCAGGGATCCTTAGGACAGGTGTCAATCCATATCTGCCAAGTGACCCTATGTAGGGGGACCAGTCTCTATTCTGCTCTGTGTCCATGTGCATCAGGGGCTCTGAGGACAGGTGTCAATCCATATGTCAAGGTGTCAATATGTCATATGTCAGGTGTCAATCCATATTCATTGTGATTTATGAATGTTAGGTGATTTCTGCCCTTTATGGATTAAAACCAGACTCTGCATCAACTGTGTAATTTTCCATGGGAGTTTTGCCATGGATCCCCCTCCGGCATGCCACAGTCCAGGTGTTAGTCCCCTTGAAACAACTTTTCCATCACTATTGTGGCCAGAAAGAGTCCCTGTGTGTTTTAAAATTCGCCTGCCCATTGAAGTCAATGGCGTTTCGGGCGGTTCGCCGGTTCGCGAACATTTGCGGAAATTTCGGGTTTGCGACATCACTATGCTTCTTGGATCCTGTCCCTGGGTTAATATGCCTGTGGGTCTCCCCCCTCCCCTGTGGTGGGTGTACAGCCCCTCTAAGTGTAAGTGGCACAATACTGTGAAACTGCTCTATTTGCAGGCGGAGGGATGCTTCTGGCGGGGCGGGTCAGCGCTCCTTTCACTGTTATCCCCTCAATCTGGCAGGCCCCCTACCCTCCGAGATTTGGGTCCACATCCTGTAAACCTTAGGTAGCATATTAAGTAACAATTAACAGTGCTGTAACAGAACTACTTTCTAACTGGGAACTTTTCAACAAAAAAAATCATGAGGGCACAAAAACTACCATGACTTCCGTGAGCTCTCTTACCCCTGTTCCCCCCTGGCACTTATGTGCAGTCTTGCAGTCTCATTGCACCAGAGGTAAACAGTTTGGAGCACTGGAACGGAGAGGGTGTACTGAGGCAAAACAACCCATTCATGTGTTACAGTCTGGTCCAGCCCCAACCTCATGCCAGTCCAGCGTGAGGGATGTCAGCGTCGGATTCTCCCGGGTAGGCAAGACAAAGTCCAGTGGCAGCTCGATGTTAAGGCCTTACCCACCTTGAATGCCACCAACTTGAATGGGTGCCCCCAGGTACATTGGGTCATGTGGCATCGCAGGAGCTCTGCGGTTGGTCTACATATCTTCCAGCGTTGAAGGATAGCGGTAGAAAGGTCCTGGTATATCACCAGCTCAGTATCCCAGGATTGTAGGATATTGTTCCTTGACGATGCTTCCTTGGTGGAATAATAATGGAAGTGGATTATTATGTCTCTTTGCACAGACCCTTCTGGCTCTCAGAGCTCGGTGAGCCTGGTCGATTGCCCACCTTTCGTCCGGTATGTCAGGTATCAGATGTCAGAAAAAGTCCTCCATTTTCTGTGGAAGTGGACCTTCACGTGGCATTTACAGGTTGTCCAGCTGCTGTGCCATGGAGTCAGCGTGAGACACTACAGTGTTGTGGGCCTGCAGAACGGATTCCTCCTGCTGCTCCAGTTTGGATGTGCAGGCCCCCAAGGCCTCTATCTGACCTCGTGTGCAGTCCTGGCTATTTCCCCAGAAAGGTATGTTTTCACTTCTGCTAATTTGAGCAGGATTTGCGAAGTTTCTCCCAGAGGGTGTCTGTGATGTCACCAGCGGCAGAGGCCAGTGAAAGGGAGCCGTGTGGACTAATGTGGTGGCCATCTTGAGAGGCCGGATTTGCTCGCAATGCCGCAAACATGTTGGACAAAGAGAGTGGGTTTTCACCTCATTCTACTCTCTTTTTCCTGGGCTGCTTTGCTCTGGTACCTGTGCTGGCCATTGTAAGTACTTTTTAAGGTGTGTGTGGGTCTCGATGCTGCAGGCAAGTGCGTGATTCAGTGCGGATGGAACCTAAGGCCAAACCACGCCCCCTGCGGCGCAACTTTTAAAGAGAGCTGATAAGAAATGTGTATTTATCCCCAAATATAATACATACACATTTGTGAGGTCTGAAAAATATAATGTTCAAATCCTCACTGCTGTATTTATCTTGACTCCTCAATCCTATATCAACGATTCTACCACTGACAATCAGTCGTGGTGGAGTTGACATAGAAATGATGTTTCTGTTTCCCAGCTCATTATCACTGAGTGCCCTGACTGCGCATGGATTAAATTGGTTTGTGATGCCACGCGTTTTAATGTAAATTTAGAAGAAAAATAAGTATTCATGAAAAAGATTAACACAAGTAATTGGTGGTTTTTAATGTTTTATTCCATTGTTTTATTTCTAGAGAAGTGTCAGATCCCCTTTAATGCATTATTCTCTCTCTGCATCTCTTTTCGCTGTATAATTTCAGGGGTCTTGGTGTTATAAACACGTAGACAAGTGCAGAAATGTGCACTTTGCAAATTTACAATATTTTAAATGCAGTATAAATGATTATGATGAGAAACCTTATTACGACTGCGGTTTTATTCTGTGTTCTGATCTTAAATGCAATGTTTTAACAATCATCTATGTGGGCGTCACATAGATTGAATGTATATACACATTTTATTATTCATATGATAAACAGTATGATTTTCCTTTCTTATAACATAATACTTTCACATACATATTAGTAGCAAACTCTGTTCAGGTTGCTATAGAGATCAAGTTCTTTACGCTTTATAAAGGAGCCTTAAGCAAGAGACTAACAATAATGATGAAACAATATTTCCATTCAAGTGAAAGAAATGACAGAAAGTGGCTTTTGAAAAATGACTGAGTATATTGTAAAATATTATGCTAAGTTTAAAACGGGAATGCCTAATATGTTATGTAACTAGCAAACTTGAAGGGTAGCAAGGCCACAAGGCATAAAAGGAAGGATAAAGTATAATTTTACATTCATATGCATAGAATCTGATATTCCCTTCCTAACAAAACTGAATATTTGTAATACATATTTAAACTTTGGCTAGGAGTATTTTCATCATTATCATTTCAATTAAAATTGCTCTTTGAAGCAGCTTGTCTGCAGGCTCTATAGTGTAAATCACTGGTTTCCAAACAAGGAAATATGTGGAATAAATTAATAAACTTTGGGAAATATTTATTTCCACTATTGAATGTTTCTAATTTTAGTAATCGCTCAATAAAACATGGATCTTCTGGGTTAGTGTATATTTACATTTGTGGAATTGTATCTGAGTATGCTAGTTTTGTATGAAAACTCCCTGAAAAAACAAACAAACAGACACACACGCACGTTCAATTTTCTATAACATTAGTGAGCATATCTCTTTACAACGCATTATGGGAACAGGTTCTCTTGGAGTTGTTGCTCACTTGCAGATTTGTATTGATAAAAAAAAAAACTAAAAAAGAGAAATAGAAATTGGTTACAGAAAAAAATGGCAGAAATAATAGTTATAATTATTAATACGTATACGTAAGTGCTATATGTAGTGCTCATTAGCGATATCCATAAAACAAGTGAACATGTCAGGTAGTTAACTCAGTGTTTGGTTCTGGAATTGTAATTTGGAAAAAATATTTTCTCAGTCAACTGACTAGACCAAAAGTTCTTCCAAACCCCGTTCCTATGATGATATTGATAGATTCTACATCTGGGCTGTCCAACCTGCAGCCCCCCAGATGTTGCTGAACTACAACTCCCATGATTCTTTCAATTAAAAAGATAGCCAGGGAATCATGGGGGTTGTAGTTCAGCAACATCTGGGGGGCCGCAGGTTGGACAGCCCTGTTCTACATGGTTGATCATGGAATTAAGACAATACGGAATATGACTAAAATAAATGTTAAAAAATTCCAAATATTGCAAATCTGCACATATTACGCATATATACATATTTTCTGCAGGTACTGGAGTCAGGTTTAGTGTAATGACCTGTTGACTGGGAGGTAGTGACTGTAAAACTTAATTAACCCCTTAAGGATCTGGATGAAAATGTTTCGTAATTGCAGCACTCCCCTTAAAGACGCTGGATGGAAAATTTCCATTCAAAATGAAAATTAACCCCTGATTGCCACAATCGCGGCAATCGTGGGGTTAATCTTCCTGTAGTGTGTCTCCATATCTGAGGCACACTGTCATGGGCAGTTTCACTGATTCAGGCCATGTGATCGCTCTGACTGGGCTGTGTCTCAAATGTGCCCCTTCAATGTCCGCATTTACCTGGCAAAGGTACATATGGGGTATTGCTGTACTCAGATGACATAGCTGAGCAAGATAGGAAGTATTATATAGCCGTAGCACACATAAGGTTTGCAAAATACACAGTACAAACTCACTTTGTGTGTCAAAAAAGCAGAAAAAATGCTTATTACCACTACACTTGG